GAATCAAAAGATCTATAAGTAAAAGCATGTAAGAAAGCTAGAATGCTTTTAGGCTTGGAAAATGTAAGTTGTTTGGTTGAAAGGTTGTTGGGGTTTTGTTTTTCATTTGGTGTTTTAAATACAAAGGATGGAGAAAAAAATGTAACTATCTCCCTTCCTGTGGTGATGGCAGCAGACAGTCGCAGGGCAAGAAATCCCAATTTCTCTGCTCACTAAATGAGGAGGACTCTGATATCATGAACGAGAACCAAGTGCTCTGCTATCGGGCGAGCTGCATGACCAGCACGTTAAACGCCACAGGCCTCGGTGTGCTTCGCCCTCCATGTTGTGCTTTGTTCAGAATCAGAGCTGTACCAGAGCTTTGGCTTCTTCTTTTACTAAAGCTCCAGTTRGTCATTTTGTACTCAAAACTGTTCAAAAGACTGATTTTTAACATTTTATTCCACCCCCACCCCAGCCACTTGCTCCTATCATGTTGTCGTTCKACCAGCTTCACTGAAGCTCAGTGGTGTTGTATGGAGAAAAAAAAAATCAGATAATGGTATTTTGTACTCTAATATTTAATGGATGCAAAGGGAAGATTTACCATTGTTTTTATAACTCCCTCTACAAAAGTTCTTAAAACAAGCAAGCCCTTTCCAGCACCTCCTCTACTGAAAGCAGTGCGAGTGTGTTCTGTTGCTTTTCATGGAGCAGAATTTATGAGGCTTTGAACATGGGGAAGCTTTACTGGAAGGATATCAAAGCGTTCCGGGACTTTGTTTTCCAGCCGTGGTGTAAAGGCCCTTCATGGATATTGAGCAAGGGACTACAGCAGTCCCTACTGCACCAGGGTGTCCGTAGTGCTCCTCATTGGCTTCCCAGAATTACTTAATCGGGATCTGAAGTTACAGCTTAGCAGTCCTGAAAAATCTGTTGTGGCAATGTCACCTCAACGCACAGCGCGTTGGCTCAGCTGTCTGTTGTTTGACCGGTTTCTTAACAGAAACAGGAAAGAAACTGCACAGAAAATGGGAATTTTCCAAAACGGGATGTTCCTCGAGGCTGGGCTGCGGGTGAGCGTGGACGTTCCAGCGGGGCTGCCGCTGCCAAGCCCCACTGAGGGCCAGGGCCAGGCCTGGCGGCCGCATCTTTCACCTGCCAGGGAGCCCCTTCCCTCGGCGTGGCCGGAGCCTGCGGGCCAGGGCTTCAGGCGCATCTCCTGCGGAGGCGGGACACGGCTCGCGGGCTGTGTACGTGCCCCTGATAGCTGCGAGCGCAGCCCAGTGCCCCGGGAGCAGGGACTGCTCTGGCCTCGCCGCCGCCACTGCCTGCTGGCACGGCCTGCCTTCCCAGGGACCGAGATCAGCCTTTCAGAAAATCAACTGCACGTCGAAGGCGGACTCAGAATCCAGGAGCTCAAAGTTGGAAGGATCTGAGCAAGAGCTGGTTGTGTGGGTGAGGCACGAGGCTTCATTTGAAGTGTTTCCATCTCCGCTGCCTGCACGTGCTTGGCACCCGCCCCCCGTGCCGGCTCCTGCCTCCGTCTGAGGCCCTGCAGTGGCGGCGGCCGCTCGAGGGCAGCCCCGGGGGCATCGCAGGGGAGGAGGCCGGCGAGGAGGCCGGCGAGGAGGCCGGCGAGGAGGGCGCCGCACGCGCGGSCTCCCCGCGCCGCCGAGCAGGGCGCAGGGTCACRACGTGTCCTGAGCGCAGCCTGTTGCCCCTGCTGGGGSACCCACGCTCCCGCCAAAGCTGCCCCAGTGAATGCTGCGGACTGAAAGGTCAGGGTCTGGCTCTGCAGCCAAACACAACAAACGAGGCACAAAAAGGCCAAAGAAAGAACAACGGGAGAAAAGGGATATTTTACAGTTATTTTTGTATTAAAAACTAGTGCATGTACATGCAAGAATATTTCACTAGGAGAACAGTACAGAAATATTTATAATCCTGGCTGTTACACATTTTCATAGGTGGAAGGGGACGGGCTGTCCTAAACAGCAATGATCCCAGCTCGTCGCTGTGACACCAAGTCTTGAACGCAGTRAGCTGGAGGCGTTGCCACTTGAAGGCCTTGCTGCCTCAGTGGTTCCCGTGTGGTCAAATCCTTTGTAGTCTGATACTTTTTTCCTGCTGTGAAATATGTGTGACCAAGCTAACCTGGTCTAACACTTTACTSCCTGTTCGATGATGCAGCTCCTAGGCCACAGTGTTGAGAAAGGTGMAGCAAAACTGATTTCTACTTCCATTATTCTGCCCCAAAAACATTGACGTCTTCCATTGAACCTGCACGAAGCCACAAAGCCGTCTCCAGTGGCACAGTGCCCTGATTGCCACAGCCGCTGTGCACACAAGCTACTGCTGGGACTGCCCCTGCACACTGTCTGTCTAGCTCTGGTCTGGCTTTGCCTACGGTCGGCCTTCTCTGGTGTTATGAGCTTCATGACTGAGGTAGATATTTTGAGCAATAAATCCTCCCGAAGAGCATCACTTCCCAAAAAGCCTAGTGAGGCTGAGTGGGAAAGGGCAGCCAAGTGCCAACACAAATACCATTTGAAAAGCTGGGGCTTGTAAAGGACTGAAATACCGGGTTGTAACAGCATTTATAAACAGAACTGCAACAGCAGACATTTCTTTTGTGAAATGTCCAACTCAGTACCACCCCTGACGGGCTGCCTGCTTGGTCTACTTTTTATTTGGCCTTGACTGTCCATGACAGTGTAGCCGTTTCCCAGTGGTTCATTGCAGCTTTTAGCCTTTAGAGACTGAAGCTGGAGCTTGTCTAGTTCTTCCACTGCACAGGTTGGCTGAACAAAGCGCCAGTTCAGCGACAGAACTGGCCAAAGAGGAGCACGCAGCCTGGAGTTGTAGCCTATAGGGTCAGACTGATCAGTAATAAAGGACCACATAGCCCCTTAGGAAAGCTGCACGTGGGAGCCAAGATAGCTGGATTCTAGTCTAAGCGATTCCTGTTAAATTGATGCGGGATAAAAACCATCCTCAAAAAATGAATGTGTCAGTTTTCAGTTGCTTTTTTTCCTTTCCTTGTCCTTTTTTGATGAGACATGCTTCCAAGTTAATTATTTGTATGGATTTCAAARCATTATGGCCTAGTCTTTATAGTTCTACTGGTTTGCTTGACTTTATAAAAATCATTAGTACTTTCATATTTTGTACTGTGAGTAAATGTAAGCAAAAACCATAATTAAATACTGAAGGAAATGCTGCATGCACTACTGGTTTGTGCAAGGCTCTTATACAAAGTTGCATTTCTCTTCCATAAGTGCACATAAGATTTCATCACTTAAGTTTTCTTTTTTCTTTTTTTGAAGCACGTGTACACATTTTAAAAATAATTCTATGCTTTACTTTGTAATTCTACATTTTATGCTGCAGGAGTGCCTTGCTCTCAGCTGCAGTAACAGAACAGGGCTCTAATGCCCACTGTAAATTCCTTGATCCTGGTTTCTCTTTTCTTGGGCATCTGACTAGATGGGTCTAGAATAATTAGTAGTAGAGAAAATCAAGATGCTAGAAGTGACTGGAGTTTCCTAAAATATTGCTCAGGTATGAAATGCATTTAATGGTCTTGCTGCAGTAGGAAGAAAAGCTGTGGGGATTGCTAATGTTTAGGTGAGGCCGGAGAGCGAAGCAGTGCGGGGGCTGCAGCCCCGGGGAGGAGAGAGGCGCTCCAGGCCCCCAGAGCTGCTCCCTCGGGGGCTCCCCGGCGGGCGGCCCAGCCCTGTGTGGGGCTGGGAGCAGCACCGGGCGCAGCCCCGAGGGCGCCCCAACTCGCGCAGTGGGATGGACGGGCGGGTGGGGAGAGCGCCCCAGGCCGGCCAGGGCGCTGGCTGCCGGACAGGTCCGTGCGCTGCGGGGGCTCAGACCCTGTTTCCTTACTTCACAGAGGATTAAAGGATCACTTTCCAGTTGCTGTGAACTGCCCACAGTCTCCAGGCATGGCTTTATCCAGCTTTCTGGTCTGAAAATCCTGCCTCTTCTGGACTGCCTTTTAGAAGCTTAGATGTTGGTAAGTAGACCATAAAATTACTGGTAAACTGAGTTCTCCGTGTGGACAAGGGTTTAATAGCAGCCTTTATATTGTCTGCTTTCACTGGTGTTCAAATCCAATGTAAAACAGCTCCACGTGTTGAAGCAGGTTTCTGCAGAGGGTTTTAAGTATAGATCTTCCTTCATCTAGCCTGTAGCTAGACAAAGCCACCACACTATTCAGTAAAATACTGACAATAGACTTAATATGAATAATGCATGTTCATAGTATATTTCATTTATCTGTCATTAACACTAAGAATTGATTAACAAGACTTATACAAARGCTATCAGAATAAAATGTTGGAATAGTGCTCATTTTCCTTTGTTAGGGTTAACAGACCACAAGAGCCCCTAGAGCAGTACGTGCCACAGAGGGTAGCAGTGAGGCCTGGTCTGCAACAGTCCTTRTTACTGAATTCAGGACCCAGGCTTCATTAGGGGAGTTTTGCCTTTCCTAATTGGGTGCCAGACTTTGGCAGTTGTTTGACCGACAAATCAACCTAATTGTTTGACCAAAAAAAAAACCTCAGTAAACAGTAATATTCAAATGCTGTACCTAAAGATGATGAATAATTATTCTGTGCTCACCTCTTACTCTTTGACAACTAACTGAAATTCTGAGCGATGCATTTTTGGTCAAACAAGATAGAAATTGATGGTAAAACCTGTAGCAGTATTTTCATCATAGCGGCATTTCCACAAAAAGCACTTGACTTTAATATTCAGAAATAACAATGTTTATMAGTTACAGTTATCCAGAGAAATGCTTAGCACCACATTAGGTGTTCTGGCTAACAGGACACTGTCTTTGCAGATTATTCAAATCACTGACCCTTCTTACTGTATGTCAGTCATGTCCCCATACAACACTCTTATCAGAAATAGCTATTTATCTTATAAGAATGTCATCAGTCACGTTAAACATTAAATGGGCTTTCTAGACACTGTTGCAGGGTGCAATGAGCCTTCTGGGAAACTGGGCCACTCGTAASTCTAGCAGTGTTGTTAAATTTGAGTTTCTTGTTTTCTTGGGTTATTACATATTACTGACACAGAAGAGAGGAGGTAATTTTTGTTTGGACAAACAGAGGCTGTCTTTAAAGCATCATGGTTATATTTCTTTAGAACATTTATTATAAATAGTTTGTTATTTCCGATGTGGTTCAAAATAGAAGTTGTTGTTAAGTAAGGAGATGGTAGGAGAAGGATGGGAAATGGCACTGACTTATTTACTGTCCTTGCTGTTATAAAAACACTGGATAAAAAAGTGCAATGTCTCTGGGAAGAGCACTCAGTTGTCTGTGGCTGAGTTTTGCTCTGTTTCTAATTGTTGTCCAGACTTAAATTTAGAAATAGATCCATGCCAGATCTTTTCAGTGCACATTTATCATTCTAAAGAGTCATGCTGCTGATGCTAATATGATCCTCTTGAACAGGGCAGTTGTATAAGGCTGCTCTACAGCGAAGTCTCAGATAAAGATCCCACAGTGGAGGAGCACTTTTGAGGGAGGAGGGGGGAAACGCTGAAAGAAAGTGTTCATTGAAAAACTTGAACGAGTATCAGCAACAGCCTCTGTGCCCCAATTTGTAATGAAGATGTCAAATCCCAGAAGACTGAGGGTTATGCACTGCTTACAGCCATCAAAAAAACCAACAGGCCCTAGAAATGTGTGCCATCTATTACTGTTTGAATGACTGACAGGTTTCTTTGGGCTTTGTGTAACTTGGTCATATCCAAAGACTCACCTAGATGAAAAGATACAAAAGATAACCGACAGGTCAGCTAGCAAACCAGTGCAAGTGCAAGCAAGTCTACACAGTGCTTACCTCAACATAATAATTAGCTTTTGGAAACGGGCTAGTCCAGTGTCCACTGTACAACCGCCAGGCTCTCACAGCGATCACGTTTCCTGCATGGACCATTGCTGAGGTTAGCTTGGAAAAGGAGCCTAGTAAAACTATTCTGGTCGTTACAGGGGCTTTATGTATAGAGATATTTTCCATCAGCATCTCAGAGCACTGGAACACCTTGTACCATTTTTAAACTGAACGTGAGTCCTGACATTGTAATGCATAGGTTAGGATGCTTCTCTCTAAATCGGATTGTCTAGGAATGGAAAAAGGGAGAAATCCAGCGATGTTTCTTTATGGAAAGCATTCAACTGAGAGAAGACTAGCCAAATACGGAAAAGATTCTTTTCCAGCTACTGTTGTTGAGTCCAGCTCGGTATCATTACTTTGCCTTGCTTGGGAAAGGGTCAGTTATTTTTATCTTCTTAACATACTGTAGAAAATAGTTTTATTATTTCAAATGGTTTTCCAAATGCAAAAGGAACTAACAGGCCCTTTATCCTGCTATCATTGTGACACGGTATTCGAACCTGAACAGCAGTCAGGAGCTCAGAAATATAATTTGGAGAGAATGTATTGAAGGAGAAAAGAGCAGCGAGTGCTACTACCTCCGTCAAGGGCCTGCAGCACAGGCTGGGCTGACACCAACCAGGTGGGGCAACAAGAGCCCTCAGAAGGGAGCCGCTTTTGTGCCCTTTTGTACAATGCACTGWTCTTTGCTACTTTTTGTGCAAGCAAAACATAATATTGTGCTCATTAAAACCCTTTCAGTTATTTTTTTTTCTAATCAGCTCAACACTATTCTACTCTTCCTCAGATAAATATGTAGTACTTTGCCTAATGGAATTCAGGACTAGTTTTTTTACCCTGTTTCATGAACCAGGCTGTACTAAATCAACTAGCATATATTTTGTAGTTTGATTTTACATCCTGGCACCTCTGCTTGTTTGGATATTTTTTGAACATTGAACCAGTTGAACAACAACTGATAGGAATCCACCTGGGAAAGTTCTCACCTGGTGCACAGTGGCTGTACTTAGAGCTTACTGGGATACCTCTTCCATCGGTCAGCCTGCATCTCCCTGCGGATTTTGGCTGACGACTTCCCTTGCTGTCTCCCTGGTGTTTCTGGCACCTCCGTTTCTTGTTGCAGCTTCTCTTTCAGAAAGCTCTAAGGGACGGAATACACTCCTAGCTCTATCGCCCTGGCTCGTGAGGGCACGCTGGTCCATGGTGCAAGACTGTTTTCTCCAGCTAGGAAGGAGGCTTTGCAGCTGGATTTCCTCACCAATCCCAGCATATTCTGAGCTCACGTGCTGAAACCCTCCCCCTTGCACAAAGCCAGGAGCCTTTCTCTGAGAACTGAACGCATCCCACTCCTGGCCTCAACAGCTGCTCATGCCACAAGATTCCTGTACAAACAGTAGGCAAATAAAGTTGTCTCTCAATAGAAAATAGCAAAGCTGGGAGCTCATGAAGTCTTGAACAGGTAGTGCCTGCTGAGCTCAAACAGTTGAGCAAAGGAGGGCACTGGAGCACAGTTCTAGGTTTACATMCCTACATATTCTTATGGGAGAGAAATAGCTCACATAGCAATTGGGCTTCCATCCATGATATGTGTGTGTGTGCAAACCAGTATGAAAGGCATACATATTTTTATTAAAAAGCTAAGCTTTCTAAAGCGTAACTGACTGAATCAGCAATTCAGAGCTCTATAGTTCTGCTGCTGTTTGCTAAGGTACTGTGATCTGTCTGCCCTGGTTCACAGCAGGTGCTGTGATTCTTCTAGAAGCAGTAACCAGAAGGATAGTTGTTGTAGCGATAAGGAGCATTTCCTAAGATTGTCTGTAACACTGCAGGGAAAAACAAAAACAAACAAAAATCCTGCTCGCTGTTAATAAATGGCACAAATACTGTACCTATCTGACACCTCAGGCTTGTTTTTAAATGGACAGTGAGGGCCCAGAACCCCCTTTTCATACTTTTTTTTTCTGCTCATTTTGCTCATTCTTACCCCTTTCTGTTGCCTTAGAAGACTGTGTCTGCAGGAGGACAGCCCAGCCAGCTCTGTGGGCAGTGCCTTGGAGCCTGAACTGAGCTGTGCAAGGTCACTATCCCTAGATAAGCATCACCTAGGCACACAATCATGAGTATTGCAATAGCTGGACTCAATAGAATTGAGGGAATACTATTAACATAACAGTAGCTTTAATACCAATTTAAAATTGAAAAGCACTTTTTTCCTCTGTTCAAGAAAGAATTTCTCTTAAATAAAGCCTAGAAGCATACCTGTAAGTTAATGCATATTCCTAAATTTAAATATACATTTTTACATTCTATATTCACAAATACATCATTTACATTGCATAGGTCTCATCTTCCTGAAAAAGTGATTAGGGATTAAACACATGACACTAAACTGAGGCAGGGATACAGGCCTAGAGCTGCTGAGGGCTGCAGCACATACGTATCCTCTTTGATGTTCTGCTGCCTGCTAACTGCTTTGCTCCCAACTGAGATACCTCCTGCTCCACCTGACATTGAGACAAGAAGCTGCTTTACAAAGGGAATTCCAAAATCAGCAAAGGAAAAACATCTAATTTAGCTAACTGGTACACTCTGTCAGAAGAYAGAGCGCTTATTTAATTCAGTATTTCCTACTGGGGACAGTTTTGTGTTTTGCTCCCTCCACKCCTGCCTGTGAGCAGAACTAGTAAATTAGCTCCGTTTCTTACAAGGAAAAAATATCAGGGAGCAGAATCAGCTTTATTGCAACTGCCTCCACCCCTGAAGTCACGGACCTGGTGTCCTCGACACTCAGATTAATGGGAAATATCTATTTCTCATTCTGTCCTGTTTATCTGAGCACAAGAGGTTTTACTCAGGGAAGGTGAATTTTACAAAGATACTGACTGAAATGATAGTTTTGAAGAAAATTTTTTCATGCTGTTCACCAAAAATTATAGATATTTGGACTCTTATAGAGCCAGTCTGTGGTTATGGCATTCTAAGACTTGGGCTACAAAGGGATTTTTCATTTCCTGCAAATTTCTTTGTACTGTTATTGAGTGTGTTCAATTTTTACAGGTATTGGCAAAAGAATTATGGCTTATCTGAAAATAATTGTTCCAAACTCTTTTCTTTAATGTTTAAAAAAAAAAAAAAAAGGAAAACAAGAGGTCTTAGAGACCTGAAGTGAAAGGGAATTCAATCACTTGAATCCAAAAATCAAGATTTTTCAAATGCCTATATTACTGTGCTTTATCCTGGATCCTGGCATAAGTCTTAGCCCTCCTCTTCGAAGCTTTTCTCTCACTCTTGGCTTTCACATATTTCCAAGCACACTGCACTTTGCACAGCRCTGAATTTCTCTAGGGCAGCATGGAAAAAGCAGCAGCTAAAGAGCAGACATCTCAATTGCAAGTTAGGTAGCATATAGCCACTGATGGCCGGGATTATGAAACCAGCAGAGATGCAGACACATCACCCACTCTTACCATGTGTTTGGACATCCAGGAGTCAACACACACCTGTATTTCTGCTCGTAATGCTAAAATGATGACTGAAGATAGTCCCAAACTGAGCACAGCCTAGAGCAGTGATGGAATGAGCGAGCTGCAAAGCGTCCTGACTGTTTCACTTAGCAGGGGCCCTGGGATTCACAAACAGGCTTCCCTGAATCTCACACCCGGAGCTGGCGGCCRGGAAGGGCAGCGGTGCCAGGCCTTGTTCCTGCTCCCCACACTAAATCTCTCACTTCAGTTACTGTTTAGTTTGAGACGTGAGAACCACAGACCGCTATTCTCCGTCCCAGACGGATGTCAGCCCGCAAGCTAGTAAATTGCCACCTACCTTCTGATGCTTGTCCCGGGCCTTAGTGCAGGATGCAGCATTCCCAGCCCACATGTTGGCACCAGTCCGAGTCCTGGAGCGGGGCAGAGGGCCGCCCAGCAGCCCCTTTCCCTGGGCCACGTTGGTGGCTTCGGAGGCCCTGCACCAGCCTGCTGGGCAGGCTGCTCAAAAGGCTGCTACACAGAGAACACATTTTCAGTCCTCCTTCCAAAGAAAGGTCGTAGTTAGTCTACAAAGAGAGGCTTCTAGGCTGGGAATCCTACGTGAAAAGAGAGGCCTAAGCCCAGGAGACAGGAAAGAAATAAATGAGGATGACTGTAATTGGYTTGCAGATTTCACTTGTGTCACCCATGGGGAGAGTCTCTCCTAACAGATCTGAGGTTAAGCCTGGAAGCCTAAAAAGGGCAGATGTCAAATTTTCTACCTAAATTATGAGAGCAATTCTTATATGCCAAGAAAATAGTTAACACTTATTTTCTTCGAAGGCACACAAGCACTATGCCAATGGGTTTCTTTCCCCATGTTTATGAATATTTTAAATCACTTATTCATGTGCTACAAAATAAAGTTTAAAAATTAAATCTTAGGCACAGGCTGCTGGCCGTCAGGGATCTTTAAGCCTCTTCAAGAATAAGAAAAGCTAGAGACTCGAAATGCCTACAGCAAAACAATATATTAAGCTTAGTCCAAACACTATATTATGGCAGAGAGATGCAGAAACTCTGAAGCCTTAACAGAAAATGAAATTAGATTTTTTTTTTTTTTCCTCTAGCTGCATTTTATAACAGCAGCTCTTTACATTCTGGCACTTTTGTTTATACAGCTCTATAGTTATTCTAGAAAAGGAAAGCTCTTTGAAATGATAACAACATCACCAAAATTATACAATAAATACAAATGAAAGAAAAATAAATGAGCTTACGACTTCAAATAGGACATAGAAGAGAGCTCATTTTAATGCCTTTGTTACTGACACACGTGGCAGGGAGAGAGATCACATAAACAAGGGCATTTGGGCAAAAATAGTGATACAAATTTTGCTGCCACACAGCAGGTTTTTTATTTACTGACAGTATGGATGAGAACACAAACGAGATGCCAGAGCTGCAGCTACTTGTCAGCCCATATACAATGGACAGCCAGTGCACCATGTACTTTACCACAGGCACATTCATATTTTCCTCTCTCGCTCTCCCTGTCTCTCAAAAAAAAAAAAAAAAATGGACAAGCACACACAGTAAAATAATAATAACAATTAAAAAGCAGAGACTATATTTGAAATAAGAAAAAAAAAAAAAAAGTACTCCAMTACCACCACTCTTGGCTCAAATAATTAGCCAATAATTGGGTAATTTACCTCTAAGAAAAGTTGATTTAAAAAGTCCAGCTACAGTCCTAATTAAATTTTCATTTCCCRTGAGGCACAGATATAACAGCAGGCAGTTTCTTTACTCACAAATCAAGCTAATTCTCTGGACTGAAACGCTCCCTCTCTCAAATGCTTCCTAAGGCGGCACTAAAAGGCTTCTCTGCTTCTCTCCTATCTCTTTGTTTGTTTGGTGAGTGCTCCCAGCTGCAGGGTCCCAGCCTCTCCAGTGCCTGCATTTAATTGCTGCCTCATTTGGAAGAAAGATGGTGAATAAACACATATATGTGTAATGAATTAATATTAACCTGTAGAATTCAACAGATGTTAAGAACATTCAACTATTGAAAACATCRTTAGACRTTTATCTGGTTATAAACACATCYATAATGTGGTCTATTGTAAATGATCTACTAAAACTATATTCAGTATGCGTAATTCACACTTACCTGCAGGAAAGGGGCCTCCTTTGTACACTGGCACTTTCAACTGAGCTGGCCACCTGCAACYGCTGGTCCCAGCTGAAAGGCAGCAGCATCAGAACTGCAGACTCTGAGGCACACTGCACTCTCCTGAAGCTGAGAAGGAACGAACTTGCCCAAGACTTTAGCACCTTTTGAGAAATGATGGTTARTGATCTTGTCTTCTCATTCACATGGGTGTTATCGCCTCCATTATGACTTCAGGCTTGCCCAGATGGGAAGGCAGCAAATAGGAATATACTTCCCAGCAGAGAACAGAGTTCAGCTGCAGTGGAAGCAGGAACACTTCTCCTCAGGCAGTGCAGCCAAGACCTGTGCTAGGCTGCCTCCAGGARAGGAGGTGGAAGAGAGGTTCTCATGCAGGCAACTGAAGTGCAACCTGGGGAGTGGAAAAAGGATGGGTGAGGCAGAGAGACCGAATGCGTAGTTAGAGGCAGCTTCCTAAAATACTTCCCAGCAACTTATGTGTTAGAAATGCAGGTCCTAAGGTTTCCAGTGCACATTAAGGCTCACAATCTAGTGAGCTGCAGCACTGGGGAGCTCATAATGTGCATGGCAGGAGATACAGGCACAGTGCTAGTTTTGTGTAAGGAMCGAGTATGTGGCTTAGCTCTGACTCTTAGCCTGTATAGTGTACACTAGGATTGAGAGCAGAGCTTAGGGTACAATATTCGAAGAAAGTGTTTCTGAGGGTCAAAGTCTACTTTAATTTGGGGTGGAGTCATCCACAGACAAGGTGCTGTAGGCAGGCAGGCAATGGATCAGAATTAATTTTTGTGTAGTCTCTCGAAGGACAGAGACTCTTCAGGAGGCCTCAGGACACTCACTCGTAAGTGGAAGAGGGACCTGGAACTCACCAAGTTGGAGACATACTATTTTCAGACCTTTCTTTCCTCTCCCTACGCAGGTCTGCAAGACAGAATTGATTCTGAGCTGACATGGCCTTTCTTTCCTCTCTAAAGCGTCAGGTCAGTTGTCCAAGTTCCAAAACCCTTGTTTCAGAGAAAGCAGAAGTTATTTCCACTTTGCCTAAGTATATTTATGATAATAAGTTTAGTTATACTTTTTYGTGAGTGTAAATAATAGGACTTGCCAGCACAGAAAAGGCTGGAAACGGTTAGTTGGTACAAGCAGGCACACATGAGCTCCCCAGAACATCTCTACCACCATGCATCTAGCCCTGCCATCTGTCTCTCTGCTGTTCCAATAAAGAGATTATCTTGAGTGACCAAAACGTACAACTGTTTGTGAAGCAACAACATACACAAATTATTTTTAGTTCAAACATGTGGCATTACTCGCTGTGCAGCTGCTTTCATGCATTAATGCATTGTGATACAAAGCCCTAACTGCAAGAACCCAAGTTAATTGCAAGCAATGAGACATTTTGGATGGAAAACCTCTTTTGGCTGCACTGGAATTGAATTGTTGACTTTTTAAGCTAAGAGAGATATGAATCATGGAAAATATTTCATTCTTAACCCCTCAAAGTACCCAATATTCCTGAAGTAATGCAAAATGCAGTTGTGTGTTGGCTTAGAAATTACAACCGCTCTGCCAAAGGTTAATTTAGACTGTTCATCCAAGATTAGTTGCAAGTTTTTAAAAGTGTAAATAAAATCTTGTTCCTAAACAGCACAGGTTTTCAAAGCAGGGAGTATAACYCTCCGCCTATAAAAGGAAAAGATTTAAAGCAGAAATGGGACATTTGACTTCTGCATATTTGGAACATTTAATCACCCTCTTGGTTGTATGGAATAAGTTAGACTGGYAGCTTTTTCTTCAGCTCTTTCATGAAAGTTCTTTTCTTTAATAGGGCCTTAATGCTTTGTAGAATGATTTAGAGTCCAGTCCTGCATCTTTAGCAGGCGATTGTAGAACTCCTGTTTATTTCAGTAAGGAAGAGGCTCAAAGATTTTAAGTGCCTAAATCTTTGTACTGTAACKTTTTCTCCTGCTTTGCACAATACTGTATATCTCGGGTGTAGCAGTCACATAGGATTTTAAGCAAATTATTGCATGCATACAGACAATACTAYTAGAACTAGAAGGAGAATTTAGTTTCTTGCTCTGCTAGATGGAAAGGACTAAACAAAATTCTGCTATTTTTAACTTCATGCTTAGGGGGGAAAAAGTTATAAAATGACTTTCTCAGTACTTATACTGGTATAGGAAAAGCAGCCAGGGAGGCAAAAAAAAAAAAAAGTGATTTTTATGAGGCCTATGTCTCAGACAGACAAGCTTTGGCAGATTTAGCTGTGGCAGTTCAAGATGCTGATGCTACTGAATCACCTCATACTGTCCCTTTGCTGAAGGCAACTGCCCATGTCTGAAGAACACGCTCCCTGTCTGCTCACATAGTGCAATCTTAACACACATTGGTCTTCACTATCACTTCTGGTCAAATGTTAATGTTCCCAGTTATGGTGTTAAAACATAGGCATGCATGTTGTTCTGTTGTTCTTACTGTAGGACTAATGTAGGACCTGAGAAAATCCAGCAGGGAAGACTGTGCTATCTCACTGCATTTTCACATTTTGTTTCTGTCTTTGAAATTTCTGTGGGCACATGTGGGAGCATCTGACCCGAACAGTGAACAGCTTATTATTTACAATAAGATGTAAATTTAAAACTAGAGGTAATATTATAATATTTACTATTGTTCTTAATGTCATCAGAGCAGACTCCCCAGAGTTGCGGATAGTGCCATTACGGAGGTGTGGGTGAACCCAGGACAAGCAGTAAACAATCTAGTCTCCTACTCAGGATGTGTCAGTATTTTGGGCTAGGTGCATCCTTTGATTTGAATGCTTACCCAGTCCAAGAGGGTTTAGCTAGACGTGTGTCTTCCCTCACAAGGGTGACCTGCTTGCAGGCTTACCTGTGGCTGACGTCTGGAAGAGCTGGCTGCTGTACTGCCTGCAGTCGAGAGCACGGCCACGGCCTCGAAGCCCTCCCGTGCAGTAACTGGGCCTCTCCCCAGACTGGGCTGTTTCCATTCCCCGTCCCCGCGCAGGGACCGAGTGCCCATGACTCTGTCCAGCAGGCAGAGCCCCTGGCCGGTCACAGCCGCACTGGTGTCACTAATGGGGAGGCATGCGGCACCGAGCAGGGAAAGCCGGGGCCGCTAGAGCAGGGCTCTTCCAGCCACGGAGCTGCCCGCTGTCCAACACCCACAGACTTGCCCTGCGTGCAGAGGCCAGCCCAGAGCCCCACCACCCTGGGCAGGGACCTGCCACCGCTGCCGCTTCGTGGAGGCCTCCCAGGGACCCCCTTGGCTCCTCTTTCTCCGAAGTCGCTCATCTGGTGGTCTGCTGAGAAACACCCTGAAACAGGAAGCTCTGGAACAAAGAGCTCACTTCCACRGACGGATAGAGAGGGGCAAGTAGACACTTACAGGGTTTGTCTTCTCTTACTGTTTTTTCAGGGCAGCCTGAATTTTTCATTGGAAAGCTAAATCAAGAGCTGTCTCTAGAAGCATTTATCATTGTTCCAGCAGCTGTAAATCAGAAATTGGAGTGGATAACCTTTGTGTGGCTACAAGCAAGCGTTCTTACATGGCCCATTCRGCATTTTTTAGACTAGTTGAAGAGAATAAGTGGCTCTTGCATTTGAGAAATATCAAATGATCTTTTTAAAGTTGCAGTGATAACACACGTCACTTTACAGACCAGTATAAACAAAGCTATAAAGAGTTGCCCCACTGAGAGCACCATTATGTTGAACTTTTTACTCACATGAAGCAGCAGACGGCAGTGCATTACACCTCATCACAAACCTTGCTGAACCTGGTATAAAATAGAAATAGTAATCAGTAGCACATGTCTCGAAGTTGCTCGGGTTTGTATTATACCAACAAGTCCCTCATCTTTGTGATCTGACTTGATTTAAAAGAACTTTTGTAAATTAACTGAGAACCACTGACAGGGTGGACTAGCCTGCAGCCTCAGAAACGCCCTTTCCACACAAGAAGTGGACTAGCCTCATCATTGCCATGGAACGAACCTCATTCTTCCCTAGATAAAAAGCTAGTGATTTGGTGACACGCGACACCCCATTTTGTAAAGTTTATCACTTTTTCTTGATATTTGCTGCTAAAAGACCACTCTGGTACTAACACCACACCTATCAGTGTATTCCTTGTAGCTTCAGTCCCACTTTTTTTCTGGACACGGACTCTACTGCTTGTTTGGCAGCTTGTTTGGCATGTGCCATGATTAAGAGCATCTCCTAGAAAGGGTTTAGGGCAATTATATGCTGACCAGACCCCTGAGTCCATCACAACTGACAGTCAAATTTCTTGCTCTTGGCAAAGGTCTCTCTAATGCCCCCAGGCCTGTCTCTGTTTGCCTGCTGGATTGGGCTAGCAATGAAAGCCGGTCAACAGCCGCCAGCCAGCTGGTAGAATAACTGTGACTGAGATGAGCCTGTGCACGCACGGTCTGCTGGTGGCATCCCCTCTCCATGGCAGCACTGAAATATGCCAGAATACCGAGAGCTTGGAGGTAGAGCTAACCTAGCCCCTGGTAGTGACTTCTTCAGAGCTGGYGTGCAAATATTTACGGTGTCTGTGTAGAGCTGTTACTATGGAGGAAAGACACGTATAAACAATTACCTACAGCACTCAGACGGCTACCCCCGCTTCAGCAGGGACGTGTTTCTCTGGAAGACGTCGCCACACAGAAGATGCCCCTTGGAGTGGAGGGATAGCCTGCTGCCCGCAGGCTCCTACATTCAGCAGTACGGAAAGGAGGGGTGTTATCTTGGAAGGAGAATTGTTGTCTTCTTCTCTAATAGCCTTGAATTAGCTAGGAAAGGTTCTGTTTCTGAAGAGACAGGTTACTGAGAATGTATTTTCAGATAACTACCTCTGATTGGGGTTCAGCAATTAGTAGGTGACTGCCAGGCAGAGCCAGGCAAGGCTGAGCTCGCTACAGATGCTAAAGTCAGTGCCTGGGTGTCAAACTTTTTGCTGGGCTAGTACTCCCTGTCCCTTGATGTTACTATTCTTAATAGCTTTGGCAAAGCCCTCAAGCCAGATGGGAAGGAAAGGTGAGAAGAGGAAACCACTTCTGCCTTCCACACATACAAGTATTTACCATCCAGGTAAATATCCTATCTCCCTTCTTAAAAGAAAATAAATAAATATATAAGCTGCTGAACATCTTCAAATCCTTTTGTACCTTAAAATCTTTAGTGCATTTAATAGTGACCAAGCAGCTGTCCCCACAGGTACCTGGTAATGCTTCCATTAACCCAGTCCTCCTTCTACTGTTTAAATAGATACAACTATTGTACTTTTATTTACAATTATTTACATCTATCTGCAACTGCAACTATGTACTTTTATGTACGATTATTATTACTACTATTGTAATACTAGTGTATTGTTGAACTACAATTAGTTGTATTTATATGCTTTTGACACTACCTTTTCCCATGCTTATTTCCCTTACCTGTTGACTATAATACTTAAAAAGTGACAAAAATAGATCATAAAGAGAACTTCACTGTTGAGAACTCTGATTTGTCATCATTACTTTGGTACATCCAAAGCATGCACCAAAAGTAATGGGGGATACTAAAGTATAAGAGGCAATTATGTCAACTGGCGTAAAACTCATTAGCAAAGGGAATTTTCATGACCAGTTGCTGTGCAGGTATTGCCAAAACGTGCATTAAATAATTGATTCAGCTGTTAAATTTGTATTTTATGAGAGCGAGCCAGCTAAAGTGGTTCAGGACAGGCCTAACACACACCATGCTTGGCCTCATCTTTTGTGTTAACTATTTTTGCCAGCTCTGAACTTAGCTGCATGATGTTGCATAGCAACAGGTTATGCTGTTGTTTGTTTTCTCTCCATTTTTAAATAGAGAAAACCTGTATAGTCTCTAGCATACTCATTAAAGAGTCTTTCATCTGAAAATCTTTCCCATATTAAGATCACCATAAAAGACTCTTCCAGACCTGCATTAATTATATATTTCTTCTTGCTGAACAACTGTTTCTCTATAGACCTGCAGTGTGTTTTGTGGCTTAGTACTTCCAAGTATTTGGTCACCATGGCTGAAAAACCTCAAGTAGTGTCAGGTAAAGCTAAGATCTCTAAAAGTAAGTTCAAAAATTTTCTAAAGTTTTTGTACTTTACATAAATTTATTCTTATTCCTGTGACTAGCTGAAGATACAGRGTTCTGAAATCAAGCCTTGCTCACAGGGCTTTTCCCTCAGTGCTACATTGCACTGCTTATTGTTTCCTACACAATAACAAGCTTCAGCAGTTTCCTACCTTCCAGGAYTCTTCATTAACAGATGTCAAGCAGCAGCAAATTCCTCTTCTTTCAGCCATGCATCCTCCAGCAGGCAAGCACTACAGTTCTTCTGATCTCCTCCAGATTTAGAGGGAACACTACAGAAACGAAAAATTACAGTTCTAAAAGAGGACAACTCCTTGCTATATCCAGTCTCAATGGAAGTGGCTAAAATTGTAGCTCCTACAGTAAGACCCGGTGCAAAGTAAGACTGGGTAAGTTGTGAGGGTTCAGGAAGGAAAAGGTTGGGGCATAAGCAAATGACTTCAAAGATTTTCAAGCTTAGATTTCAAGAACTAGCTACTACTAGTAAAGGTCTTTGATATCTATATGTTACAGAGTTGCAAAGCTAAACATAGATTTTGACATTTACTCATACACCGTCTTTGTTTCCAGGAGCTGTAATTGGACAGCTTGTTGGGAATTGTCTCCTGTATGCAGTCAAGATGCAGAAACAAAGTATCCTCATATTAAAGCTCTYACATATTCTCATCCTCAATTACATACCCTGGTGCCAGTATGTTACATTACTAAGCTGACAAGAATAGACACTGGGATGCTATACGAGGTAACTGAGCTTTACTCAGAATTTGAATGAATCAGATTTTCCAAATCAAGATGTTGAGTCAGACTTGGAAAAACTGAGTTTGTCCATCCCTGTTCTGATATAAGGCCTAAAACCAAAAAGATTTTTTAAACTCCCCCCTCCCGCTCTGTTTTGGCCTTAAAGATATTCTAATTAATGTTCTAGAGCTTCTTATGCAGTAGTATTGCTACCAACCAGTTTTAATCTTACTTTGAATCTTTTAATAGTAGTGATACCCAAGAGAGTCAATATTTGCTGTGTGGGTTTTTGAGGCATCTTTGTGGATTTGTGCAGTTCTGCACAGCACAGCAGTGTGCATTCTCACCTTCATCCAATGCAGTGCCTGGCAAATGTATTTTTCTTGCTTGTGTTCAGATCTTGAWCACTGCTCTGATTGTTTTTGCTGATAAAAATCAGAATCTTAAAGTACAGTATAAAAATATATACAGAAATTTTACTACTTCTATGTCCTGCACATTCATTTCAGAACTGTTGAGCAGGCAAATCCAAGGAAACAATTCTGCACACTCCTTAATCCATTTGACACATTTCTTCTTCAGAGGGGGATCTACTGCAGAGATGGCTACACCCTATCCCTCAGACAATAGTCCTGCTGGCCAGCTCAATATTTAGCAACAATTAGCACATTTGCAGCCTGTATTTCTCACTCCTGTGTAGCCTGAATTGCCCCTTTTTCACCTCCAGTAAAGCATCTGCGGCTSGCTCACTTGACAAGGTGGGGTGCAGATAACCCTGTGCAAGCATACTCGCTCCCTCCTGCCACAGAGAAGTCTCCCTGCATTAGGCACATGAATCGTTCTGCAAAGTGAAGAGGTTGTTGAACTAGGAGATTTAGGCAATTGAGAAGGCATTCTCAAAAATCACCATTTTCATTAATTGAAAATTGCTTTAGGAGCATATAAAAAAAATCCCTTTCTTTCTCCACTCTTTTCAGTTGCTGTTAATCGGACTGATACGTGGTGTTTTGGAATCCACTTTTCATGCATGTAAGGAAAGGAGGACCAATGAGCTGATATAGTTGATAATTTTCCAGGAGTAAAAGGAGCTTTTAGTCTTCAGGGGGATGTAACATGAGGCACAGTATATTTCTACCGTAGTCCTGCAAGTTTTTACACAACAGCTTACAAACTTGTTGACCTTTCCAAAGCACATCAGAGAGAGCAGCTTGCCTTCCTTCATCACTCAGCCTGGTTTTCCAAGAGTCGTGCTCCTCCCTACCTTATATTCCCTCTAAAAACATTCCTCTGCTTACAGTGACTCCTTAGTACCAAGAAACTTGGTCTATATGACAGGTGGAGAATAGGGATCTTCAGCCTTTCCAACTTGATGCCTTTCTCCTCAGTTTCATGGCCTATCTAGGCCTTAGTTTTAGTAAGTGCCTGCAGCAGAGAGCATTTAAGAGAGTCTCTTCTTTCTTTTGTCCCTTTTGAAACAAAATCCAAACAATGTTCCCATTTGGAAACTATTTTAATAACTTTAGAACTATTCTCAATACAATTTCATTTTTCTGGGAAATTAAATGGAAAAATCTCAACCATTTATCAAGTTGAGTGAAGCAGATTGATCAGGTGAAGGAAACAAGAAGGCCCAGAATTACCTGGCAGATTGATGATAAACTCTCCTTATTACCTGGAGTCCACGCTCTTGTTCTTGTACTTTTTATTCCAATCCAGGGAGAGCAGACCCGCCTTCTGCTTCTTCCCTTACARTCTTTCTGGGGATTTCCTCCAATTTCAGTACTTGTCTGTAATAATGTCTTCTTCCACCCTGTACTGCACAGAATCACAGAATCATTATGGTTGGAAAAGACCTTTGAGGACATTGAGTCCGAATGTAAGCCCATCAACAGAATTACAACGTCCTTTCATTTCTTAAATGAAAGAACATTTCCTGTGTCTAAAAGGTAATTTTAGTGCATCTTCCCTGGGGGTTGATTGATTTGCTTCTACAGAAGAGGAGTAATRAGGACATGTAGATAAGGAGCATAAAATAAAAACAGGGAAAGACAGAACTGTTAATACTACACAGATTAAAACACTACTGTGGTGCTGACAGAGTTAGCACATGCTGTTAGGAGAGCAGCACCATGAAACATGCTCGGCTAGCAGAGCCCTGGGAATAGGCGAGGTGCTGAGGGCAGCTCCGAAGTGTCGGTCAGTGACCGAGTAYGAGGCAAGCCTGGCTTCCCCGTGCTGGCAGAGCAGCGAGAGCAAGCAGCGCTCTCCTATTGAGGGCAGTCGAAAAGAAACTCCGCTTAAGAACCAGACAGAAACGGAAAACCTGCTCCTGTGGAATTCCCTCAGAGCTTTGTGCCAGGAACCCAAACAGAGAAGGGTCTCGCAGGACTGTCTTGCTGCATTAAAACAGGTCATCCAGTGACAGCAGTCCCAAACCCAACATACTGAATGCCATGTCACAAACACCAATTGAATTGTGGTATCCCTCACGTATAAGGAGATCTTAGCCAAACACCGCTGAAACTTGTCATGCATGTCAAATCTAGCCATCAGGAACCAGTGACAGTCCCCACTGGCTTCAACGGGAGAAGGTCTTAATTGAGAGTGAGGACTAGGCTTGAGTTTTCCTCTGCCAACCACTTCCCGGGGAATTCACATGTACACGTGTTCAGCCTTTCAACATTCATCCGCTCTCAGGGTTTACCTTTTGGCAATTATTTCCATAACCAGGTGACTTCAGTGGAAATTCAGAGTGTAGTAACATGAATAATTCAAAACCRTAAAAGAGGGAAAGAACCACATAGATGTTTCTTATTCCAGTGACAAGGCGCATTAACATTTTCCAGAAGAACTCACGTACACCCTCAATACAGTTTAACATGCCTATCAGGAACCGTCAATAAATATTATCACTTAATCTTTACCAGACTGTACATACACTTTTCCCTGCCACAAATACTATTCCTTAAATAGAAATGAAGCCTTATCTTCTCAGAAGATGCTGAAAGCACCTACTCCTATCACACGAGATCTGATTTTGCCATATAGGCACCACAGACRTCAGGAAAAAAAAAATCACTGCTCTCCTGAGGTGTTGCCTCATTACAGAGGTGCAGATTAGCTACTGCTGGTAGCCCCCGGCTGGAGGATGCTCCGAGCACCAGCTGAGGTTTAATGGCATGAGGGCTCTGAGGGGCCTCAGTAGCTGGGTCTGCCTGTCGTGCAGCGGATACAACCTATTTGATGTACCAAGGCGCACTGGCTGGCTAGAGCCTTCCAAATTGCAGGTTTCCATAGCTGTAGATCATGGCAAAAATAGATTTAACAACTTAAAAAAAAACAAAAAAACTTCTCTACTTTTGGTATAGGTGACATACAAACTGACTTAATGAATGCTGCTATGCTTGGAGACTTGGAAACAGGAGAGTACTGGGAATATGCAGAGGGAAATGATACCTCTTTTGCCATATGCATGGCCTTAAGACTYCCTCTGGCACTATGTTCTTATGTAACTGTAGACAATGTCCTTTTATATAAGAATGTAGTTGTAAAACCTTCATTTAACCCTCCTCCCTGCCCCACCCCGTGGCACACATCTTTATTTCAGCATTTCTTAATGCTGAGTCCCTGGTGTCTGACAGACATATACACAATGATTTATAGTCAATGCCATGACCTTGGTGCTGCAGGCTGCTTAAACAGAAAAAGCCTGCATCCCCATAAAACCTAACAGAGCAATTCTTTAGACTGCCCATAAAATATGCTCCACTACTTTCGGGATGAAGGTATAGCACTATCAAGTTAGGTTTTCATGTATCGTTCCTGTGGGATATGATCCTCCTTTAACGGCACAGTGGCACAGCAGGGCAGTTTACACTGCCAGCAGAGCTGCCTCGCTTTTACCCGCACAGAGCTATTAACCTAAGGTAAACACAGAGCAGTGGCTCCACCATAGACTTGCAAGTATCCAACTATTTGTCACATCCCGTTGACACAATTCGGCTATTGTAAGGTTGAACTGTGGAGTCTCAAATTGTCACTTGGTATAAAATCATTAATATAAGAGCGAACATACTGCAGAAAAATCAGAACACTTACACGTCAACACACAAATCAGAGCTACTCACGTGTTTCTAAGAAACTGGAATTTGAGATTTCAGACTTAAGGAGCTGTTATTGTAGATCTTTTTCCTCTCCTCCAAGAAGCTGGGGGAGCTATTCAGGTGAGTTGCTTGCATTAGCTCGTGCACAAGCCTCTCCCTGGCTTCCTAGGAGCTGCATCCCCCAGCAGGCCAGATCTTCCCCGGGCAAAAGGGCAACTGCTCCAGCTGTGCTCGCGATGCTGGAGACGAGCAGTTGGGTGCAGCTTCTCTCCTCGCTTCCCCAGATTAACTTGAGTTTGGAGCCACTTTGAAAAGCYGAGGGGTGGGCTGCTAGGGGCACCCCCCGAGTTCTCTTTGCAAGCACAGGTCAGCACAGCTGCCAACCGCCACCCCTGCCACGAGAAACTCGGTTTATTTCTAGTGATTCTCTTCCATGTAAGGCATGCCAAAACCAGAAGTTGGTCTGGTTTTTTGTTTGTTTGTTTTTCCCTGTCTATACAAGAGCTGCTTTCTGTAAGCATAGTGATGAGAAAACACACACCAATTAGCTGTTTACATATTTACCTTCATTTCAAAACAAATGCAAACTTTCTTCCCCCCGCCTCAGTGTTCCCTCAGTGCATTTGAACTAAGTTTTTGCTGTAACTTGTAGCAAAGTGCTACATACTGAGCTCGAACAGGGGGTTGAGTAAGAAAAGTAGTTTTGCCAGACACTGTTCTAATCTGATGAATAGTACAGGGTCATCCCACAGGGAGTGACCAGGCAATATTTTTAATCCTCTGCTGTATAACTGAAATTGCTTACTGTGTATCCCCTTGTTTTTACAGCATCATTGCAGAGGATAGTCCTGAAAGCAAGAGAGTAAAAAACAAAATCAAAAATATTGTTACTCTGAAATATGATTAATATATATTTTACTAATATGAACATTCTTTCATACACTCAGTGAATCAGACATTCACAACTGATTTCTGGCTAGGTATTCAGTTCAGAGACACTGATAGTGTCCCTGTGAAGAGGCCACAGCCCTAAACATGCACAGTGCACAAAATAACTTGTCCTCACTCTCGATATCTCCTTTCCAGTTAAAATTGAAATCCACTGGTTGTTATTTCTGGTTTGCATCTTTTAGGAGCCTTGTGTGCATCTATCACTAGGTGATAGTTAGGCTGTACAACTAAAATAGCACTTGATATTGTGTTCAGGCGCTCATTACCTTTCATGGGGAGATTAGCCCTGTATTTTTTATCTGAGAAGTATTCTTGTGGAAATCAATGGAAGAAGGTGGCTGCTTTCACAAAGAGGTCTGAAGCAATTACCCTGAAGTTCATACAATTCAGCTATGTTTATAACTAAGAGTATTCAAAACCAGCTAATTTTCTAATACAAAAATACAGAATTATTGTCATTTACTAACAGATCATACCATGAGCCACCTGCAGGACCTGGTCCCAGACATGCTTGGAAGATGGAAATTGTAAATATAATTTAACTCACAAAACCAGAATCAGAATGTGCAGTGTGTACATTCTTGGCAGTTTACCCATATAAGAGTTAAAAAAAGGAAGAAGGTAGATTGCAGTTATGACTTTTCTTTCAAGGCAAGAATTCAAGTGGAATCATCTCCACATTTTTAAAACAGAACTATGAATATACAATATCCAACCTGGAAGAGCACAGAATTTCTCAAAAAGGAATGCAGGTAGACAGCAGCTTAGCCATAATCGAGCAGTCTATTCTAGCTGATCCAAAGCAAGCTTTATAGTCTGCTTTCTCCATTAAGAGCCATCAGCTCCCCCCCCCCCTTTTTTTTTTGATGTGTAATTTTAATTCCCTTCAGTTAAAACAAAAGACTGCCAAAGAAAATTTATGATTTTATGTAGGTTTTATAAGCTGTGGAGAAATTTTAAGGTATTCTTCTGAGAAGAAATCCCTTCAAAGCCAAACAGTAGACAGCATTCATTGCTTTCCAGATCCACAATTTACTAAACCTTGATAAAAGAATCAGATAAAATGAATAATGGGAAGAGGAAAGAATGACAGAAATATATATATATATATATATATATATGTCATACAAAATCGTATTTTAACATTTTTGGCACAGTAAGAGCTCCTTGATTCAGCTGAATCTATAAAGTTCAATAGCTCTGCATTGATATCCCCCAGGGCAGAGCTGGAGGCTGCATAAGCACTAGCCTGGCTAATTTCTTGAATGTAAATAAATAAAAAACATTGTCAATACAGAAAAATGAAAAGCAAAAACAGATAGTGTACAAGTCTACCAAAGATGCACTGGGGAGCATTGACCTTTTACAAGTGTTCTTCAAAGAAAATACACTGCTCTGGTATTCAGCGTTTATCTTAAAAGCAGACAGTAAGTGATGGCCAATCTACACTTTGGCTAGACAGAAGTCCAAATACTTTTGACTTTTCCTGCCTGGATGCACCTGGAAAAGCCTCCAAAGTAGCTGCTACCTCGGCACGTGTGTGCTCAGGCTAATCAGGTGCACATGTCCAGAGGCAGGCCCGGCGCTTCCTGGGCTGGCCCCTCGCACCTAGCACGGGAAGGAGTGCAGGATTTACCTGCTTGTGACTGTGACAGCAGCTCCTGCTCTTCTGCCCTCCCAAGGCCCTTGCACTTCCCTCTGCCCTGCGCTGATACAACACATGGAGACACCAATTCCTTGTGGATGCTTCCAGGAGAATGGGAATGAATGGAAGAATGGTGTAATAATTGGCCTAAAGGGAAAAATCAATATCCTGCTCTCAGTACGGCAGAGGTGAGTGTAGCAAACCAGCGTGTATTGAAGCTGCAGAGAMGGTGAAGGGTAGATGGCTCTTCCTCAGCTTGCAACTGCAGAGCTCGTCGGGTATTTTCCTTTGGGAAAACACACTGCACACATGCACTGCACCCCGTGTGYGGTGCTGAAAGTGTATTTAAAGATAAATATGGAGGAACAGCAATAGATTCACTTACACCATTGCTCAGTTACATTTTCAGAAGTTCAATAAGTATGTCCATTTTGTCYTTTAAAATACATATTTGGACTATTCTGATGGTTTGCCGTTAATTCAGGTTGCATAGGATGTCAAGACTCTGCAAATACTTGATGCTTACAGTGGATTTTTCTCAAAAGTCAAGGATTTTTCCTTTTTATGATTACAGAAACAATCAGTGTAAAACACGGCACATAGTTGAACCCCTGCCCCAAACTAACGAACTCACCTAACTCTTCTATCAGCTTTGACAGAGCACTAGTTTGCATTTCCAGTATCATCAATCATGATGACAATTAATAAATAACCTTCACAGCAGGATTTATTTAACATGATAAGACTGCAAATGTGGGCTTTTCCCCAAGCTGGTGACTCCACTCCAAAGCTGGGCTTTTCCTTCCTTTCTCATCCGAGGTGTCACCAAATGCAGCCTCGACGGGGTACAGACCCCAGAGAAGGGACTTGTGTTTGGTCTCAGGCAAGCTGGGCCTTGAGGGACAATTTATGAGAGACTTTTTGGAATAATGGCCTACCCACAAAATGCCTCATTAGGAACTTATTTTCATTCTCCTACTCAATGAAACACCGAGCAAGTAGTTGAGCAAGAGGACGTTTATCCATATTTCTACATAGGAGGGAAACTTGACCCACTCAGTTGGAAGTTGGCAGGAAGCAATGGGAGTTTAACATACAATAGGCACTTGGGTGGCCGCTATTCTTTCTTTCTTATCAAGCTACTATATTTATACTCACAGAATTTTATCTTCTCAATAACAGAGCAACAAGGCAGGGAAGAGGTGTGGCTCTTATTAAATGATCATAACCTGAGGGCACTGCACAGCGCAGGCACTACCCTGTGCTGCTCATCCTTGCGGGTCCAGGGAGAGAGATTGCAGGATAAGCTCAGAGCACATGGAGTTCAATTTCTCTGCAGTACTAAATTTTCCTTTCTGTGACAAGAGTTAAAAGTGGCACAGATGGCTATTTCTGTGGCATTAAAATTCTGGAARACCTGCTTTCCAGAAAGGCAGCGTTTACAAATTTTGCCTCAGTTTGGCAATGCTGAATAAGGCAACTGCTGGCTCTCCTCTGAAACAACTTAATAGTGATATGCTGTTTCAGATAATGYCATTTTCTGGCCTGATCACAAGCAAGTAGAAAGAAACACGATTTTTTATTATAAATATATATATTACATATATAAAAAAAACTATATATAAAATACTATATGCAATCATATACTACATATAAATAATATTTATGAAGTTTTATTATAAAAGAAAAAAATATTTATATTTTATGTTAGTGTTGAATTATTAGTTAGTATTCAAGCATTTCATTTTCTTTTTTTTCCCCACTATGCTCTACCAGAAGGAACAGTATCCCACCCACTGTCAGAAAGGACAGAATAATTTAACTGAACTGAAAATATATTGCTAAAGGAGAGAAGTCATAAATAAGATAACACTGAGATATAATTTTAAGACAAGATAGAAAAAGACTGAGAGTTTCAACATGTTTCTGCAACTGTGTTGGCCCACATAACTAATAAATATTTCCTAATTGGAAAATAAATTACTTAGCTCTTCCTTATAGCTCTTTTATGTCAAACTCCATCAGGATTTTCCTTTGAAGGACCTTTCCTAAACACAGCCAGCTCACTCATATCAGTTTGAGCTGATCCTTACATGTCACGTTCCGTTTACTGCACTTTTAAGGGAAAATTAAAATATCTAACTTCTTACTGATATGGAATCACATCCTGTTAAAGTAGTCCTTGTAAAAGGGCTCATTCTGTTGACGTAGGAAAATGAAGAAGATATAATAGGATAGGTACTAATAGACAGCAGGAAGCAAAGACGTTAAAAATAGTTTGGRCAAGTCTATCAGATGAATAACTGAGCACAGACTTTGCCCAGCACTGCAGAGAGGTTAATTCCCGAGAGGTTTTGCTGGGAGGCACTGAAAAGCATCTCCAAAGCACTGGGGGAGGTGGGGCTGGCGCGGGAAGCGATCYGGAGTTGGGGAGGGATTAGATTCCTCAGAGAGTGCAAGAGTCATTTAGGGTTAATAAAAGGAACAAAGTCAGGAGACAACATTGCTTGTAATGAAGCTATTGATTATGAAACTGCCTCCAAAGGGAGTGGTGTTTGCCTTTTCAGAATACAACCAACCAAAGCACTGAAGACTGGCTTTTAAAAGGACACAGCTGTACTAACAGAGAGGGATCCAACCCGTGGAGTTTTTGCTTCTTTTTTGTGCAGTGTGGTATTTGTGTATGAATACAAATCAGCAATAAATGTTTTTACCTGTCTCTGCACAGGTGTCAAGGCCGCTCTTTAAAGCTGCCAGCTGCTAGCGTGGTTTCTGAGAGCCCTCCCATCTGTCACAGGTTTGCAGGAGCTGCCATCCAACTTGGCGTCCCAAGCGTTTTCCTAAATGGGAATGAGAGTATTTTAGAAAGTTGTGTTTTACTCTCAGCAGCAGTAAATCACTGGGAGCTCCAGAGGCCTGCGATTCAAACTGTTTGTCATGGGTTTCTTTAGCCAGCCCTAGAAGTCACACGTGCTTATAGCAACAACCAAGCCTGCACTGACCAGGATATTTATGGTTTTAGATCTGTCTAAACCAAATCAGGTTTTATTCCAATATGCACTTTTTTCACAGAAATAATATACTAAGGTCCTCCCAAAAAATTGGGAGGGCTTCTTTTCTGTTTCACAAGAAGCTCCATCAWGGAGGTCAGAGCATACATTGTGCTGGTGGAAAAGTTTATGGTATTCTAGTGAGCGACAGTAACAACTGCGTTACCTCCCTGCATCTACTCCCTCCCACCCCCAGATATTTTAAGCCAACCGGCACCTGGTCCCTCATTCTCCCAAAACATTGATTTTGAAGACAAAGTTTCTCCGCAAAGACTATGGAGAATTCTAGAAGCAAAATGCTTGGTGTATAGATGTGATGTTTCTTTGCAGGGAGATAGAATGCAATTTAAAGAAGTGTTCCTGGTCTTGTCTCTAAGGGATTATGGATGACCCACAGTGTTGCAGAGCCTGTCCCAGCCTAGAGAACTATGAGGACATTTACAGGATGCTGAGAAAGCCAGTCAGTGAAACAGTTCATCTGGACTCTGAGCTTATGAGGATAATGAGATAGAATGGCTGTTTCAATAAAATTCAATAAAATTATAGAAATGAGGTGATACAAAATAATTAAGAAACTGAAGTCTTTTTTTCTCTCTCTCAAAAACAAACAAACCAAAGAAAAGCACTCAAGAACCACTTGGAATTTTGGTGCTGCTAGGCAATTAACGCTTCTGCCAGAGGATATTTGTCCTTACCCTTAATAAAGCTTTCAGCTCCAGAGTACATATCACTTCCAAAATGGGAGGTTACACATAACTGAACTGGTTCATTCACTCCTTTGCAGTCGCTCAGTAACTCCTAAAAACATTGCATAGCTCAGGGGCATTAGGGCAAAATAAATCATAAAAGGCATTAATTGTGCAACTCTGAATTATGCGGATCTCATTATTGCCATAATCATATCAGGCCACCATTAAAATTCTGTGTTGGGAGTGCAGATGTGACGACATTACAGTGCATATTGATTCTGGATGTTTGCTGGAGATAGAGGTAAAAGCCTTCGAGAGAGCTGGGGTGAACCAAGACCATATGAATTAATATGTAAACTGAAGGAAGGAGGTTTTCATATCTCAGTTAGATATTGTGGATATTTGCACGGTATTAATTATTACTAAATGTACATGCTTTGTATGCCGAATAGGCCTTTGCTGCATGGGCTCATTAGTTAACATCAGTTGCCTTAACAGGAAGCAGCCGATGTCTGCCTATATGGGGGCACAGAGAGAGACAGTTATGGAGAATTCTCTCTTCCAGCAGAATTATGAGTTTTCTCTTTCCCTGTTCTAAATGTGTTCCATGTTGAAAGGGTAGAGCAGTGCAGCAGAAAAACTCARCCTGGTGGTACCAGCTCAGGACGATAAATTAGATTTCAGTGTATGTAATTCATTAGATGCTCAGAAGTATCTTTCCTTTACAAAGAGAAAAGAAAACCCAACGTCTGCCCAAACTAACAAACAGAAACTCCTGGTATTTTGCCCTTTTTGATTGCTCAACATCAATAAGACAACCACTAGTTAAGTCAGACTTGGTAACTAGATGGACTGTGTTTGAATACCACCCAACCTAACATTAAAGACAAACTCTGCAGCAGCTGCAGTAATTTGAGGGGCTCTCCACTAGACCTTTTCCAAATAGATCTCTCTCTGAGCCTCMCAGTAATTATTGGCTGTGTGCAGATACCAGTTCTCTCTCTTAAGAATCCAGTGGTATAGTTAGGTCTCTCAGACACACCAGAATTTATCCCAGAACTAGAGCAACCCTGCATGTCACTAGCTTACAGCCTCTCGGGAATTTTAAAAAGAAAGAAAGGAAGAAATTTTAAGAATTTCTTAATTTCCTTTTTTTTTTTTTGGCTCTGCTCTTTGTACATGTTACCAACATGACTGATAGTGTTCTCTTTCGATCTCACTAATGGCATCCCTAAAAAACAACAACAACAAAAACGTGCAAGTTCCCTGACATTTCTTTCCCACCTGGGCAAAGGCCTGGCCCAGAAGATGGCCYGGGCTGTGAGGAGGCAGACTCTGCCCCAAGATATCAGCTTTTCCTCCTGTCAACAGCTACCACGAGGAATGTCTCTCCTCAGCTGAACTCTCTCACTCCTTTGGTCTTGCTTTCTGCAGTGTGTGCACACTAACACGAGTCTGTGAACCCTTTGGCATTATTTATACCGTTCTCTCCCTGGGGAGAAAAGCAGCACGTGACAAGTATTAGTCACCTTGCTTAAACTAATACTGGCAGATACTGAGAGAGCATGATAAAGAGGATAATGGTACACCCACACAAAATAATAGCAACACATTTTTCTGTCTGAAACATGCATTTGAAAAGGGACTTWTTTTTCATGTAAAAGCTGCTCAATTATCTAAAAAGCCTGACTGATAGTAATGCTATATTCTTCATGGAGGCACCTTCACAAGAAGGCTCCCTGGAAACCGATGTGAAATCCTTTAAAACAACTGCTAGCACAAAAGCAGCAAGCTTGCAAGTTTTAACACTACCAAAAATGCAACTGCAGAGGAACAACGAAACGTTAAGTATTCTTGTGTCTGATCCAGTCAAAGCAAACCTTGCATTTCACTTATCAGGTAACCACAAGCTGTCCAAGTGCTTTATGAGAGGCTTTAAATCAGTTCAGTTGTAAGTGCAGGAACTCATAATAGAGTTCCCATACAGTCAAGGGGAAAAAAGAAAAAAAAAAGAAAAAAGAAAAAAAAAAAAAAAACAAGTTATGAGTAAGTCCCCAAATAATACTACATCACATAAACACGCCATAAAACTTACTCTGGGCTTAGCAGGAAGTCCAAATATATCTGTTGCTCAATAGGTCCTGACCAGTCTGTAGATCAAGCTGGAACTGACTGGTCTTTGTGTCCCACCTAAAAACATCACCATTAATTATTTTTCTTTAAATTAAACACAAGAAATCTTTGTAAGGGCTTGGATGGCAGTCAGAATAAATGGGAACTAACAACATTACATAAGACAGGAGTTTTGTTTATTTAAAAAAAAAAAAAAAAAAAAAAAAAAAAAAA